ATTTGAATAAGTTCCGAGCCTTGTGCGTTTGTGGGACCCGTCTCACGAGTGCACGGCGTCTGTCGCGCCTCGGATTTGGGTTCTGGGGCGTGACAGATTTAGTGGTATCAGAGCTTAGGTTTAATTAAGATTTTGGGATGTCAAAGTCTAGGTTTAATTAAATACCTAGGATTTGTTTTGGATTTGGCTAGCCAATGGATCTTAGAACCGTGGTGAGACGAGTGATGGGGTTAGACAAGGGACGATTTTGATTGTAAATGTTGGTGAAATTGATCTAGTTCTGGAACTTTTAGTTTGAATGATAAACTGAGATGATAATGATAAATCTGGAATTTGTGTTTGGGGATTTTAAATGCTCTGTTGATAAAAGTTCTTGCAAAATTGATTGACTTAGTTTTATGGTTCCTTGTGTCATTGTATCTTCTGATGAGGTATTGTGCTTAGACTCAAATCTGTTTTGCGTTTAGGCTTACCGTTTTGGGTGTGTGATGAAGAGGGACTCTAAGCTTTTCAGCTCCTCCCCTCTTCTTCCACTCCGGAAATCATTTCCAATTCTTGATGCTTTTTGTTCTCTAAATCTCCAGTTCCCTTCAGTTTTTGGAGTGGATGATGATTTTAGTGTCTGTGTGAATCTGCTTGTAAGCTTTTGTTTCAGACTTAAAACAAGTTATTTTGCATTCATAATGGTAATTAAATTGGTTCGTTTCTCGTGTTTCAATCGTATGACTCTGGTTCAATACATCTGTTTGATACTTGATGATTTTTGAGTGGATAACTTGATTCGCCTGTGTAATGAACTTAGATGTGAAGCGACAATGATCAATAAGGAATTTTCATGTCCTGACGGAAATCCTTATGGGATTTGAGTCTATATGTTGTGTGTGTCCATGTCATGCTAGTGTCCAAGCTGTGGTTGATACTACTTAGTTTCTGTACATATCCAAATGCTCTTGCAGGAAAGGATAGTGTTTCACACATGAGTGAAATTTTTCCTGCTAAATAGTCTACCCAATATTTTTGCCTAGACTTGCTTCTAGATGTCCATACCTGAAATTGCTGTTTTTGATCTCATTTCTGTGTTGTTCTAGGTGTGTTTGAGGCTGATTGTTCCCTTGTTTTGGTCTTAAATTGTCGTGGAATTTATACTAAACTCTGGTTTGGAACTACCTTAATTTCTGAAAAATTTCCAGCTCAATCAATATGTAATTGATTTGAATTCTAGCAACCTGATCTGGGAGTAGTATTATGTACATAACTTCTTCTGTAGATGTTGGATTAAAGCCATTCCTGGTTTTATAGAAAGCTAAGGGATAGTGTTAATTTTTCGATTAAGCATTCAAACCAGTTCTGCCATGTCCAAGGAGAAAATTTGGTTGTAATCCTTGTGCTTAGAATCTGACCAGTATTTTGCCCTTTTATTCAGCTGTTTTCTAGTCTGTTTTAGGCTAAGTTCAAGTGCGTTTGAGTTGCTATTTTAGCTGTCAGATGCTCCACCATTTTGCGTGCATAAGAATAAAATTGGGTGCTAAAATTAGTTACAGCTGCTTCATCAATTTCTTTCTTTGTCTGCCACCTATAAGTTGTGATTTGGAGTGTCTCTGCACGCTAAACTCTAGTAAGAAGTTACATCAGCATGAGGTCCCCTCTTGGACTTAAAATGTGATGAATTACATTTTGATTTATTGATGCCAAACTTAAGAAGAATAGCAGCCTTGTAACCTTTTGAAATTAACTACAAAATTCTGCTCTTGTCACAGTTGGTTAGGTCTTTAGGCAAAATGTAATTGTTGTTCCATATCAGTTTCTAGCTATACCTTGCTGATTTTCAAGGTAAATTATGTTGCCTGTATTTTTTTGATTCACTTGATGAGATAGTAAATCAGTTAGTTCCTGTTATCTGCTGTTGGTGAGAATTTTTGAAATTAATCTTTACTGACTATGCTCTTAGGACCTTGTTTGAAACTTGGTCCCTTGTGATAGTGTGCTTGGTATTGGGTGTGGAAGGATGTATAAGGCCTTCCACATTAGGTCTATTTGTTTGAGTATTCATCCGGGCATTCATACATGAATGCAAACATGGACATACATGAGCATATACATGGGCATTCATGCATGCACACATGGGCATTCATACATGCATGCATAAAGGCATTCATTCATACATGCATATGCATGCATTCATCCGTTCATGATTTTGAGTATCCGAGTGATGTTTATCCGTCTCGGATGGAGTTCCATCTTTTAGTTGGACTCATCATTAGATTCCTTGTTATGTGGTTGTGTTTGATGAGTGCCGGGTCTTGATTTGAGTCAAGGGCACCACATAATCACGCCAATAACTCTTGAGTTTAATTACTTGTGTTAAGGTGTGAAGTTATCTCCCGCTTCCCAAATAGCCATTGGGGAGGGTGGAGATTGAGATTGTTGTTGGCTTTTTAGGGCGGTGATGAGTACTCATCCCTGTGAAGTGAATCTGATTATTGTACCTTTGTAATTGTTAGCCGTGTATTTGAGATTGATTTTCTTGTTATTGTTGTTGTTGATGCTAATGCTGCTACCTATTTTGTGTTTAAAATTGGTGTGCAGAATGTGGTCCTTGTTTAGATTGTTTAGTTTGATATAAATTGTCATTCTAGAGTGACATTTGTTTTGTTTTCAGCCTGACTTTTAAAGTATTTAACCAGTTTTGTGACAGCTATCCAGTTGTTTCTTTGTTAGGAATCCTTGTTGGTTTACTTGCATCTAGTTACCTACAAAGGGTCCAGCCATGAAACCTGTAGAGCTATGATGCCCCTCTTCTAGAGCTTGCCTTGTTTGTGGATTATTATTGGGAATCACCAAATGAAATGGTGCAAAACCCAAACCATACCCTTTAGGGTTGCAGAACATTTGGGTGGTTATATGCCTCCTGTGTGGTGCTACAGTGTCCTTTGCCACAAATGAAAGAGTTGTTAGTTCAAGCGTCTTCTCTAGGACAAAATGGCGCTTTTAAGGATATGCTTGAGATGGACTATTGAGCACATTTTATCCCTTATTGGAAACCTAATCTTTTGGACTTTGTATATATGTCCCCCTAATCTAGGAATTTACCTTTGATTTTGCTATGTGCTGTTTCTTGACCATTAAGACTATGAAGGTCTTAAATTAAGTTGGAGTTTCCAACCTCAAAATGGCTTTAGTTTTCTTGATGTTTTACCCCAGAGCTTGGAATACATTTAAGTTACTGGAAGGTAATGTTAGTTATAGAGGCCATTATTGGAACTCGAATTTTATGCAAGAAACGTTTAGGTCCGCCGTAATTCCTTGATTTGATTTCGCTTAATCTTCTAAATTCTTATTGTAAGTTATATCTTTGAAAACATCTGGCTAACCAAATTTATTGCGAAAATGGGAAATTTGTCCACATGGATTTTTCTAAAGCATTTCCCTTGGCTTACGCCAGCACTCTTTTAAGAATTTTGAGCTATTCTTTCACAAGCTACCCATTGGGTTGGAGGCCATGATTTAGGCCTCAATTCGATCAATGTGTTAAAATTCATGCTACGCCATTCCTTGCTAGCTCGTTTTTATTTTGGGTTCATAGCATAGTTAAACTGTTGTGTTCTGTAGCCTTGGTAAGAATCTCATCTGGGTTTCTCTGGAATTCAAATTAATTCTGCTCTATTCTGGTTCTTGCTCTGTCCTTCCGGCATTCTGTTTGTGTAGGGATTTATGGTCTTTGATTTTGTTATGACCTTCTCTGAGTTGGAAAAGATCTAGAGTCTGATTTGGGGTTCATGACCGTGAAAAAGGTTTGTCCCTTGATTAGTAAATAGCAATTTTGTAGTGGTGGTTTCATGATTCTCTCCATTGCTTTGATTTTTCAGAAATATTGATTTATTGATTCTGCACTGCTATGGCCACATGATGGTTGTCATAGGATGGACATTAGTTGTCTTAGATTGCGTGAAGCCATTCACCAGTCTAAATGATTCTGGATTTGAGTTTTGGGGACAAAACTCCTTTTTAGGAGGGGTGGATGTAATACCCCAAAAATTTCTAGAGCAATAAAGTATGAGTTAGGGACCTAATTGTGAAGAAATACTATTAATGAACTTAATGGCAAAAATTTTT